TCCATGCCGGAAAGTAACGGGAAAATATCCCTGGCAGATAATTATAACCGACATTTGCAGGACAAACTATTTTTAGCTTATTATATTTATAACTTTAAAATTAAACTTGCTATTCTATACATTTAATAGCGATACGATTAATTACGCCATATTGCTATTTTGGCATTGGCCTATTTAAAACTAATATTAAAATTAAACACATTGAGTAAATTTGTTTTGAAACCGAGTAGTATAGTAATCATGGTGTATAAAAAAGTCTATTTGTAACAGTATATTCCTTATAACAAACAAGTACAAAAGCTTCATGGTATTCATGTTATGAAATTAATATGTGAATTACCTCATATATATGTATTTCATGTATATATGTATTATTTTTCTGGTCGTTAAATAAAATTAATCAGTATTTGTTAAAATTATTCAGTATATTCATACCATAAATTATCTCTCTCTCTATCCGTGCCTTTCACCCAGGGGCGGATTAAGCCCCTTTGGTGCCCTAAGCACTGAAGACTTTGGTGCCCCCTCATGTGTAATTTAATTATAAAAACAATAAACCACATAAGTGTATTATCCATTAAAAATAATCACAACCAACAGTAAATAAACAACTTTTACGAACATTGTTAGGTTTTTTAACTCTTATATATAGCCGATATATATATTGGTCGTTTACTGCCGATAATATATATATGCAAACACGCAATATCGGGCCGATATATCGGTTGAGCTCTAATTCTGAGGAAGTGTGACAATAAAGATTCATGCCTCCAGTCTCAACGTGAATCGAAATGCCATAGGATACAAGTCACAACTGTAGTTTGAAATGTTACCGGTACCTAGTAGTCTACCTCAGAGTGGTTCAAGGTTGCTAGGTTGAAGGACCGCAAAAACTTTTGAGGAGGTCTCGCGGGCCGCAAGTCGGAGAAAACCTAAAAGTGATCAAAATACCGCGAGTTTACTTACTTTAAATTTAATAAACAACGAGAGTTTACCGTTCTAATCAGACTATTATTATGTTGCATGGTTGGCGTCCGTTTAAAGAAGATATATAAAGCCTTCAGTTATTTTAAATTTAATTCCCGAGAATTACCGTTGTATTTTGCGCATCTCGCGTTTAATGTCGCTTCAAATTATATTCTTTCGTGACAGATATTACTTGAAATCAAACCAGACACTGCGTGATGGGCAAGGAAATACATTTCCGCCGTGTTCTCTTATGTCACCTTTCTTGCGACACTCATTTTATTACGAATTGTTATATTGAGTAATTTAAAAACAGCGTGAGCAAGCTTAGTGACATCGTCAAATACCAACCAAGTCAGTCTAAGTTGGTTTTCGGGACCTAGCTAAAAAAAATGGATTACGCAGCGTTATGTCGGCTCTGCGTTTCGTCACTACTGTCACATGGCCGACGCTTGTAAACAGAGGAGTGTTTTTACTAAAATAAAGGCACAAAGCGTTAGAAAAAGGGTTTGAATTTTGGGATCCCAACCCCAGTTGGAATATCTAAAAAAAAAACTCAAAAACGTTACTCCATTAGATACAAATATACGCTAAAATTATTCTGTGAGCCGCACGGAATGTATCAGCATCACAGAGTTTGGACCACCCTGGTCTACCTTATCAAGAAACTCCCGACTTTGCTGACCAATATATCGTTGAAATGCGATCGTGGAACCGCCACATAGGGTAAATAGTTCATTGGTCCGATTGTTGAAGAGAATAGAAATTTTTTCAAAATAAAAGTGTAACAATAAGGTGAATACTAAAAAGAAAAAACAACAACAATTTAAGAAAACGACTCATAGGCCCATTTCGTGTCCAATAAATAAGTTTCAGTGTTTATTTTTAGTAAAGAAGGGTAATATGATACTTGAAGACGAAAAATAAGCGAATATTTCGAAGTTTGAGTCGCCTGGTGAACTCGTAATATTTTAATAAACACCGATAAACTATATAAAATTCTTCTCTAAAATTTCTGTGGTGTCCCTCTTTGCTTGGTCCCAGCACGTGCTTATATTGTTTAATGGTTAATCCGGCGCTGCTTAGAGGTGATGTCACATTCAAATCAATTAAAGTATTCCTGGCGCCAAGAAGATCTTCCGCTGTTGGATATATGATGTTGGTGTATACACTCCGATTCATCGAATACCTGAAAAATTTGAGACTATGTTATAAATGCTTTGTATTTCGAAAATAATTATCATAGTGAATATTGGTATGAACTAATCACGGCGCCACGGTTTCAGTTTTGAGACCTTATTTTACACACTTTGGAATTATTTCATTTCATATGATTAGGGCATCATTTATTTTGTGCTGAAAAAGTACTATAGTTTTATTTCATTTAATGCGTTTGATGTTTCCGCTCTAAACTTGCGGTTGTATGCAAAGTAAAAGTTAATTTGTTTTCTGCACTTGTTACATTTCAAAAATTACCTTCAAATTTATTACAATCAACAGTCAGTATAAATAAACAAGAGAGCTATGCTCAAATATATAGACACGTTACGCTGAAATTCACTGTGGTACGGTACGGTAACTTACCAGCAGGCTTGACCACGGAACCTGTTCGTTGATCAAGTGATCGATATATGTTTGCGGAATCGCCACATGGTGGCAAATTCGGATGACGTCATAGCCCAAAATAAAAACAAATCTCATAAAGCTCACAGGAATATTTGAAATTAATAAAAGTAATAGCCTTCTAGAATAAAAATTCCATCATTAACTACTGAAAATTTCAAAGCAATTGGTCCAGTAATGAAAGAGAAAAGCGACTTTTTAAAAACGTGTCAAAGAACAAGAACAGGAACAATAAGAACAAGAGAGCTATGCTCAAATGTATGGACACGTAGAGTCACATAATTTTGATGACGTCATAGCGAAAAAAAAAGTAATTGCCTTCTGGAGAAAATTTTTATCTTTAACCACTGAGAATTTCAAAGCAATTGGTCCAGTATTCGAAGAGAAAAGCGACTTTTTAAAAACGTGTGAAAGAGCAAGAACAAGAACAACAACAACAACAACATAATATTGAAACGATCGTTATGTCCACTACGTTATGTCCAATAACGACTATATTGCGGAAACTGGCTGTAATCCAATCACAATGTTTGGTTGCATTAAAAAGTACTCCTATTATAGCGTTACAATCCCAGTGTAACGAAATGCCTTTACATATTATACATTATAGAAAATGTTTACATTACAAATGCAGAACGATTCCTCATGACAGCGAAATTACAGCACAATTATTCAAACAGTCGTGGGAAGAATATTTTCCTGGCAAACCGTCATTTGCAACGTTTATTATGAAAACAACCAACAGCTTTTTTACCGACTTCTTTGTTGCAAAAGATGGCAATTTCAAGATTCCTCCCTGGCATCGTTAACGATTTATGGTACAACATGTTCACCAACAATACTTCAAACGTCATTTCTTGACCATATACACGAAAACTATCGAGACTATGTACAAGTATTTACTGACGGTTCGAAAAATCTATTTGGCGTAGGTGCTGCATATTATGTGCCTCAAGCGAAAGTAGAGAAAAAACTGAAATTACATCATAAAAAGTATTAATATTCCGTGGCGAAAAAAGTTTGGGAAGCGCTAGCTTAGATTAGGGATGGTGGGAAGAAGCCGCCAGCAATCATCTGGTACTAAATTATCCCCTACTGGATTTGAACCTGCGAATCCAAGCGGGGTAATCTTAGGTTAGAAATCAAGCGTAGTCCTAAGGCACAATGCGCCACTCAACGCGAACGTAGTCAACTGCAGTGCACTGGCTGACATAGATACTAAACACATTAATATACGTCTATACCCTTACGCTGGATTACGAAATCTCAGGATTGTTCTTTATGGCCGTACATACCTGTATCATATTCGCTTTTTACCAAGAGGTCTACTGTAGAGACAAACTCAAAGTGCTTCATACAGAACTAGAGTCTCCGTTAACTATTAGTTTACTCAAAATGACATTAATAAAATTTAAGAAGCAACAAATACATCCGAGTTATTAAATAGAGTAATTTCAAATCACTCATTAATATTAATCGGTAAGTAACAATTTGTTTTTGTTACGTTCTTATTGTGGGGCTCCGTAAATAACAGTCTACCCCTTCACGAGCTCCATAACACCAAATATGTGACTCAGTCGTTGTCGTCGGTATGCACTTGTCTTGAGCAGTCAATTACCGTATTTACTTCACATAGAACCGTGATTAATGCTGTTGCTGATGTTATGTCTCTGCCGTTTGGTTTGGGCGGAGAAATTATCTTTACTGTAGGGGTAGGCATCGAAACAACGTTAATTGTGACTCCACCTTAAGGACATCGCCGGCACGTTATTGTATGAAAACATTTTTGGCTGCGAAAGTCAATGAGCTAAGATTTGTACGTCAATTTAGAGAATGCATTGATATAACGCTAAACACGCCGTTATTCTTTCATTGAGTGGAAGGAAGGTTACATTTTTGATGACATCCACGTGCGCGTTTACTCGACAAATATGAAAAGACAAATATAATGGAAATGCTGGATTCTTTGTACCAAGCTCCCGTTACTGATGTAAAAATGTGAGATCTGAGATGAACGGTTCCATTACATTTGAACCCACGACAATTGCACCTGCGTACTATTGCACTTATGAATTTTTTTGTTTTACGGTTATTTGAACCCATACTAACCCTAACCCATGGATTTTAGCACCCCCATATAGATTGAATCCGCGGATATACGCTTGGGTTCAAATGTACGGTCACCGAGAAAAACACCCCGAAAATACTATGAACTAGGTATTATGCGATCAGAAAATGTATGAAGCAAATCCGAACCGTCATCTTCATTCTGCAACTTTGAGATCATGCGTTAGAAGCGTGATCGGCTCGTAACGGCAACCTGGAGTAATTAAAGTAATCAGGTAAAACTATTTGATTACTAACAATCAGTTAGCTTTTTTCGTCAAATATTTGTGCGCGGGAAGCCACAAGCGACATCGCAGTCACAAATGTTCGTCGTAGGATGAGGTTCGATTTTGCGTAAGATGTATGGATAAGCTGACTGTTGGGTTATGACAGCGAGTTCGAAACGATATTCAGGTGAGCTAAATTCTATTGCTTTCATTTTTCTATTGTATAAGTGGTAAATTAGAGGTTTTCGGGCATATACGAAATGGAATTATTAACCTAATACAGACGTCTAGATTAGTGGGTGATTCTCTTTTGTATTGAACTCACTAACATCGGACTTATCATATTAGGAAACTTAAACGTAATATACTGATCTACGTAAGCTGCATTCAACAGGACAAGATTTACATGAATGTATTGCATAACTTTCAAAACTTTCGCAAATGTAGCGCAAAATCAATGGTTTATTAGAGATTCGCGTAGCCTTTTCACTTTTATATTTTATTGTGTATAGGGTGCTCCCATAGTATTCGTACCAAGATGGCGCACAACCTGAACACAGTATGTGTACATGGTTAGGGTTCAGGTTGTGCGCCATCTTGAATTTCCAGCACGATCTGCATTCCTAACTTAAACTACCAAGATGGCGCACAATCTGAACACAGTATGTGTACCTGGTTAGGGTTCAGGTTGTGCGCCATCTTGGTAGTTTAATTTAGGGATGCAGATTGTGCTGAAAATTCAAATTTTTAAATCATTCCTAACCCCAAATGGATAATTACTAATATGTCATTTTAAAACGTGGCGGGAGCTTTGTGCAAAAGATCCGATAGATTCAGCCCCGCTGTTCATTGAATATGCTAGCTACAGTTCTGCGACAGTTTATTTATCAATATTTTACCTTTTTTTCAGATGCAAAACTATTAAAGGTTGGAGATTTAAAGACACAAAGCAACGAACGAGGAATATTACAAGTAAATATCATTTACACATTTTATTTGACTTTTGACGCCTATTTTATTCCTGTACACCACTGTTTTCGTTTAGAATGCTAAACAATTAGATGCGGGCGCACCGCGTCTCGGGTCTTGCGATCAAAGTCCGCATCGTTATGCCACATATTTGATCGTGTGTTTTCCCTTGAGATTCATATTTTTACAAGTTTTAATAATTGTCTTTCGAATCAAAATTTCAAAAAAGTAAGACCCACGTTCACGTTTAAAATGCTAAATAGTTCGATGCGAGCCAACATTGTTATTGCGCTTATTTTATCCTGTGCATTCTATCGAAATTTGAGATTTAGATTTTGCACATGTTTTAATAATTGTGTTTTGAGGTCCGAAATAGTACTATAAATATAGTACCTTGTATCAAATTGGTGTACTCTCTTGAGACCCCTAAAATTCGTTGCTCGCTTCTCTGCTGGATAGCGATCTCCAGTTTGCGATCCCCACCGTGAACAATGTGATAATTCTACAAGTTACTGATCAGAGGTAATTAGTCATATACTCCATGAAACAGTTATAAAAGTTCATTGGGTGTTTTACTGTTATTGTAATATTTGCAACTCGTGCAGTTTGAAAACTACACCTGATATGTTATAAAATATTAAGCTGAATTTATGAAATTGAATGATTACATATACCTGTAACTGTTGAGTTGATGAAAAGCAATTTCTATGGTAATCTATAATATTTGAAATTTTATGGCAATCGCTGAATAAATTTTATTCGTTCAAATTTTCTTAGTTTTGTGTATTTTAAAAAAAATCGGAGAAAAGTTTGGGTTTTATGAAATCAAATGTCGAAATTTACCCCTTACGTATTTTATTGAAACTAACGTATATTTTTTGCTTTGCAGTGTCTCTGTCAAATAGCATTTGTGTGAATTAACTACCTAATGACCTAGTTGGCTCAACGAAATTTAGTTTGAATCAAATTTAGAATTGGCTTGCACAAAATCTTGACACATATATTGATTTTCAGCTTAAAACACTGCTTGAAAGTTGACAGGACAATTTATCAGTGTACCAAAAGAAATTCGTCAAGTGCCAGCTTTTCATCACTGAGTGAGATGGAGGCCTATCAAGTCTGAAGAGCAAGTATGTGCCCAAATCATTTGAAATCTTTTCAATTTAGATGTCTATAGTATAAATAGAATATATATGTTTTTTTTTTTTCGGGAAATCCACAGAGAAATATTACTTTCAATATATTGAGTATAAGCTCAGTTTTGGTTCGTGTGTCAAATGAAATTTTTTAAAAATTACAATCTCAAAATTTCAAAATAACATGATACGCACAACTACCGTTTTATTCTGGCTATTGAGTCGGCCCAGTGAATAAGGCTAGGGCCATGTTTTAGAAATAAAAATTAAGCTTTTTTTCGTTCCCGCCCAATAGTCGAGATACAGGAATGCATTAAATTGATCTTATTTTTGTCAGTTTGGGCACCAATGCGCGCTCATAATTGTTTATGGCAAAATCTGTTAATCCTTTTCAGAAGGTGCAGTCTGGTTGTCGGGTATTCAATGTAGTAAAAAAAAGATTTCCTGTGATTGGTTGCTAAATCTGTTCTAGGCTGCACTGTTGTATATTTTACGCTTACACTGAATATTC